CACATGTGCATGACGTAATTTTATAGAACACGATGTTAATGAAGGCATCATAGCCAAGTGTTCTTGATATCAGTACCAGTACCCTCATGGACCTTCATTTTCCTTTACTTTTCCTGGGGTGTGTAATTTACTGCGTGTTCCTACAACAAATATCACGGGAAGATATTTGGGATAACTACTTATTAAATGTGCCGTCAAAACTCCTTCCATTTCACCATTATTCATGAAACTTTGTACGAACGCACAGCAAATTGACATAACGCCTGTCCGTCCGTCCTTCCGAAATTACTTTATTCCAAATAAACCTTGCCATGAACTTACAACAAGAATCTAAATTACAATTTATTGAAAATACAACATGTTTCGACCTTTAGAAGATCATCTTCAGGAGCGAAATCCACTTACTTAAATGCAAGCAATTTATAGGTTGGTTAAAATAAATGTCGATTTACCGCTTGCAAATTTAGACAGTACTGCCACTTCTATCCCAGAATAACTAAATTCATATAAGCATTGTTTTATTATTAGTGAAATGCCTTGATATGGTGTCTATACTATAATACATTAACAAAGTCGCTTATGCTCAAGACGTTACAATGCCCACCCTGTCATTGAAAAAATTCTTGATAGTTTAGATGAACAGGTTTAAACTTACCTAAGTTCATTTTGTAGACTGTAAAGATGAAGTAAGACGTTTTGAAGTGTAATCTGAGTAATATCTAGCACATACATCACTTTTATAACACGCCACAATCCATCGTTTAATTTTGGTGTTGTGTACGTTTTAAAACAAACGGTGGTATACACACGCAGAATTTGTGTCATGTAGGTATAATGATCGTCACAGACACGTGAAGTCAACGATGTTTTAAGTTCATCTACTTCACAGATATTTTCGGGATATTGTATAAAAATAAACCTGATTTCAAAACAAAAAGTGTTTATATAGGTTATGTTGTATCAGATCAGACAGCATTTGGGTAGTTGAACTGATAATCTGTGGTCAGCTTCTAGATGCTTGTTATTAAAATAAAAATATCTGTTTTTAAACTAATTCGCGTTCAGCGATAAACAACAACGTTGCATGTTAACATGCAGACATTATCAAAATACACAGAACAGAAATAACACAATGAAACAAAAGACAGTCTCTTGTTCATGGCCCACCATATTCTTACTTATGTTCTTTACACATCTTGTAGCACATGTGGAAGGTACATGTGAACGTGGCGTGACCTTCCATTGTATGCATGAATCAACTCGAGAAAGGATGATCCGATTTTAACACTGGGAGTTTCAAAGTTGCATACACTGATTTCTTTGGCTTAATTTGATTAATATAAAATAACTATCACGAATGAGGTCTTGTTCTGTTAAACCTTCACCACAGTATTAATTAATTAAAACTGATTATCGTGGTAAAAATAGACGCATACGTAATTCTTGTCTTCAGGTTTTAGCGGCTGGAGGTCAATGTATGATGTTAAAGCCTTACACGTTTGCACTCAAATGAGTCTCAGCTGGAGTACAGGTGAATTGCCTTACCTTAGAACTAATTACTAATCGGGATATTTCCTATTTATTTATTCTTGGTTCTAAGGGTTAAGAATTATAATGAAAATCCTATAAAACTTGTTCGAAGGCATTTTGATATTTTATTATATATATATATATTTCTTTTTTTTAATTTTCTGAAAGACTGATGAGTTGTCCTTGAAAAACCGACATCTTACTCACCAGAAAAAAAGTGGCATTTGGTTTCGAAAGCATTATGGTAACTGAATGTATTTGGCCAATACCACAGACATGGACGCTGTCCCCGAATTTACGTTAAATATATCAAGATTTCAAAGGATATAACTTAAAAAGCACTCGCCTATAAACATCGCACAGTGAAATTCGATGTGGACCTTGAAGATAAAATTACTCTTCTTCAAATCTTGATACTACGAAGAGATGGACAGACAACTTCACGATCCACATTTCTTTAGGCGATATAAACTGTTCGCGTTGTCTATATTGAAGAGATTAGGCGGACTAGGGGGGGGGGCAATCTAAGAAAGTTGACGAAAAACAATCCCAGCATCCCAGCTACCATGCTTTTCCAAAAAGTTTCCACTGTCTTACGAGGTGCGATCGGAAAGTTTCAAGACTGTGTCAATAGCGGGCGAACCGGATGTAGTACGAGCTTCTGACTTTAGGGGGTGCGGCCTACATTCATAGTGAATCAGTGTGCCAGCCGGCATCATCGAATTAGCATTTGTTTATTAGTTACGGGCGTTTTGGTAGTGCATTACACCGACCATCCTGCGATTTCGGAATGGCGTGTGCATCAAATTTTGCCAAAGACTCGCCAAAACGGCTACGGAAACCTATGAAATGCTAAAGCAAGAATTTGGGGAGTCCGCAATGGGTCGTGCACAAACTTTTGTGTGGCATTCACGTTTTAAAAATGGCCGAACCTCTGTCGATGATGACGAGCGTTCTGGACGACCATCTTCGAGCACAACGCCCGAAAATGTTACGAAGATTCGGCAGGCCATTCACGAAGATCGACGTCGTACCATCAACGACTTGTGCGACATTGCTGGGATAGGCTATGGGACCTGTCAGCTGATTCTAAAGGAAGAACTCCACATGCGACACATCCTGTCTGAGGACCAGAAGCAGAATCGACTTCTCGTTTGTCAGGAACTCAAAGATCTTGCAAGAACCGACCCAAACTTCCTTTCTAAGC